TTAAGAATTTTAATCCAGCTTCTTATTCACTGTTCAGCGTGACTAAGGGAGTTTATATCATATTGGGAGTGAAGTAGTGCATTAAACTCAATTTTAATAGACCTAACTTATAAACAACATTCCTTAATTTTGCCAGCAAATAAATAACACCAATAAATGCCTTTTTGTGTTGCCAAAATAGGAAAGCAAACGAAATTTCACCCAAATTATTTTCTTGTCGTCTTTGAATAGCAATTTAAAGTTTTTAAAATAAAATCAGTCATGCATAAAAGATATTCTTACGGACGTTTCCCTCAAACTACTTCTTTATGTGACTGTGGATTTTATTGACATTGCGAAAACGAAATTTCTCTTGTAACTGTCAACGGACTTGGTGAATTATAGCTTCACTCTAGATATACGAAAGTTATGTGATGGATATGCTCAACATACAAAAATGGGCGAGGAATTTTGCCTTTAATTAATTTTTTTGGAGTATTTTTTAGTGCCATTGGCTGCTGTAGTTCTGTATTTTAATTACTGAAAAATTTTCTCTGCATTATGATTTGAGCTGTTGATACGCAAGTGGAACCGACTCATTTTCTGTCTTTGCTTTATGCTATGATGATGACTTTTATGGGACATGTGTGATATTTTATGATCAGTTTTGCTGACTGACTGTTGGGACTGATGAATAGTATTGTTCCTTGCCAGTAGTTCTGAATAGCAGTTGTTTAAGGATGGATATTAAAAATTAAGCTGTAAATCATTATTTGTGAAGCATTAAATCGTGACAAGCTAGTATGTTGAACTATTCATAGACCAAATGTTTCATGAGTTAGTATTCAGCATAGAAAGTTAATAATCATATGCATATCTAATTTTGCATTCATAAGTGGATAGTTTGACTAATTTCCAGGAAGCATTAGCTGTTAGTAAGTCAAATACAATTTATGAGGCTCATTATCACTCAGTAGCTTATGACGGTCAATAAATGACTCGAATATTAATATGCTTAATATCTATGAAGTCTTGGATTACTTAGCATTAAATATGCGCTTTAGTCATTCTCAATTTATCACATGCTTTCTATGTATATGAAACATATAAGTGGTGGATAGTCTGGCCAGATAATAGTTTTGGACTTATCATAATTTGATATGAATCTCTTAAGATTTAGATCTATGATTCTAGAAAACTACTTTGATTCTGCTAAGCACTTTAATCGATGCATCTGTCTGACAACTCTGTACAGAGGTGTATATTACAAGCAAGAATTATGAAACTAAACAAACCTCATCAGCTAGTCATCCAACCTTCATGTATGAAAACTCATTTCTCTTCAATATATATGTTTTCTCAAAACTAAAAGAATTTTAAAAATATTCATATGACTTTAATAAATTAAAATTCTACTCAAAAAGAGAGATTCCGCAATTGCTTGGTCATTTCTCATTTTAGTTGAGCAACAGCAACAAGCGCGTATAGGTGAAAATCCAATTGTTCACTCACTAGTTAATTATTTTCACGATGTACGAACATTTATTTTGATTTGATGTTTAATTAAAAACTCGCAAATGAATTCATTGTTGGGCATATACATCATACAACAATGCTTTATGTGTATGCTCGTATTAATAAACAAGAGAAGTATTTCGTTATTTTTCACCGTACATCTTCGCTCATTGTTATCGTATTCATAATTTATTACTAATCCACACTCATACATAATTATTTTTGATTTATTCAGTCTTCTTCACAGAAAAGCTAGCTATTTATAGGTTTCGAGTTTGTTAACACATATCAGGTTGTGGCTTTGCATTTTCATGAATTGTTTACGCGTAACAGTTCATATACCTGTGGATTATGGATGTAATTCGCATGATAAGACTCGAATATAGACAGGATTTATGTTGCCATAGGCTCCTGATCTACAAATTATTAATATCGATGCATCTGATTTGTATTTACAAATTTATGATTTGTTTGCTGCCCGATGGCACTTCCATAATATTGTACCGCTTTTAATAATCAAAATTCTAAAGCTTCAAAAAACGATTGCAAGAATATGAAAACCGGAAAAAACACTCCTAAAGATATTTGACAGGCTTGTTGCTGCTTCAATCTCCAGATTCAACTTCAAAACCGGCTTCATTTCAAGTTATTTGAACTTTTTCCATCAAACAACAACACGTTCGGTATAACTTGCTTTCTAAAAGTTATTATCAGTTCAATTAATGTTGATCAGCTGACCCGTGTCATCATCATGGCGCCTCGTGTGCGGCATTTTTAACAATTTTTCATGTTGATGACGTAGTGATATCGTCAAAGACAATAAAACATCTTTATGACATTTACTAATATGAATTTTAATTAGAGGATTAACGAATCTATGAACTTTAGTCAATTGAATGCCAAAGAGCATGTTTAATAGTCTATGGCTGTTGTCTATGAGTTGAGTTTTTGTGTTTAAGATTCTATTGAACTATGATTTTGATTGCTGAATAGTAATTTTGAATATTTTTACCAAAAATAATATAAAGATGAAAAATTTTGATAAATTTTCATAAAATTATTCAACTTAAGCTTCAATAACAAAAAATTTAACATTACCGATGCATTCTTGCCATGTTTTTCAACTTATTTGAGCAATCAAATGAAAATTATTAAGCTTATTGAGCTAAGAATCTGCAAATCAAAATTCGAAGTGGAAAACTTTAAAATGGCGCAAAATTATTGTTCAAATTTTGAAATTTAACGGTTTTATTTTTTTCTTTTTGACAATTTTAAACTACACCTTTTAAATCACTTCCTATAAAAACCTGAACTCATCAGCAACAACAAAAAATCAAACAATACTCAAAAATTTGTTAAGTACGATTCTAGACTCAATAAAGCCCCGCCACATAAAACAATAAGCACTTGAGTTGGAAACAAGCGATGAATGATAATCATTATATGCTTTTCAAAAACGACTATTTTAATTACAATACTTTACGCTGCACATTACAAACTTCTGGTACTAAATGCTTCGCATTGTGAGAAGTAAAAATTACATACCGAAATTTCATTTTCATTTTAAACATTCAGTAGCTGAAAACTACTTTATAATAACACACATGTGAATATGATGATTTGTTGATGATTTAATTGGAATATCGGTAAATGAAAAGAATTTTTTCATTGTTGTTGATGCCGCAATATCTACAATATAAAAGAAAGTGAAAAGCATTTACTAATGACCATTGGAGAGATGTCAAAATGTTACAGTTTACTAAACGAGTTTTAGAAATCGCAATACAGTAACTTAACATAGATTTATTTCTCTCGGTTGGATTGCGATTCTATTTTCACCTGTAGTCATGTCGACATTCTCTCATTTTCATGTAGACCAACTTTTTAATATTGTGGACACGAAGCAGCTCCCAAAAGATGTGGTTCCTCTGACAAAAAGGTCGTTATGACTTTTTTTTCTGAAAAATTATGCCACATTTATGTTCTCCTACAATTTATCCAATTTAATATCTAGGGATCTATTTTTATTGCTACCTTTTTATGTTATTTTAAGGACTTGAAATCATTAAACAATAGGAGACTTAAGGAAGTTTGGGTGTCAGTAATGCAAAGGGAGATTTTTAGGGTTGTTCATTTATTATGTCCATCAGACCTCCCGCCTGACTCTTGTTCCATAAAAGCACCCCCTTCCCCTTCTACACATCATAAGCTAACATCCCTTTTTACGTAAATAGAAATTCAATTCAGAATCTTGAAAAGAAGCTGAAAGGAAGCATCAAGTACTTGAAAAATCTCACTGTCAAAAAACTCGAGGGGTGACATGCAAAAAGTAGGTCAAAAAATCCTTTTTTGTTCTTTCTTAATTCCCTTCTGATAGATTCTCATCATCTTTTTATGTTCTTCATTCCATTCTCATATATTTGCCTTCTTGCTGAATGTGAACAAAAAAAAATGACTTGTCACGTTTCAAATTGTGATGAAATTGAAATTTGATATTTTACAAATAAAATCGTATGTGACACAATTACGTTCAAATATTTTGAAATTGGGATGACATGTAATCAATTAAGGCAATTTTTATTATCCACAGATTCGCAAAGTGACTATAAGGAAAGACATTATGTGACTTATGACCTTAGGAATTACTTTGAGAAGTTTGACTTGTGATTTTAGTCGTTTAAATGTTTTAATGGAAAATATTAGGTTCAAATTAAGTAACAAAACCCTACAACAGTTTCAAAAATTAGTATAAAACCATACAACAGCCTCAACATTTGTAAAGTTCAAACACCAAGTTTGTTTAAGAATTTTAAGCATTCGAAGGACGTCTACACACTACACAATGACTGTAATCAAATAATACAATAGACATAGCTTGCCTGTGACTGAGGATAACGATAAAAAATGAATAAACGAGTAAACAAACAAAGTAATTTACACAAGTCATTGTTTTATGGACAAAGTTTGCGGTAAACTGTTAGACTTAATGTTGTATTGATTTCATCTCTATTGCTAACAGCAACAAAATAAGGGGAGGTTATGGGCAGAAAAAGGACGTGATAACAATCTTGTCATGGGTGTTTGAGAATCTCTCATAACAATTGGATAGGAAATGCCACTCAAATAAAGATTCATGATTAATAAAATTCTCTCAATAATAAAACTCTTCAGTCACGAACTCTACTAAAGCATTGTTCATTTAGAAATTAACTGATCATAACTCTCGACATCAGTTTAAGAATAACAAAAACTTTGTCAAATTCAATTTTCATTTTCTAATTATTTAATTAATGCTTTAATGAAGTCAAGGGGGGGTACAACATGATGAGGAAAAATTTATAAATAATATCTTGCTAAAATTTTAGTTTCCTGCCAAAAAATTGAATTTTTCACAACATTTTTGATTTCCAATCAAAAAATTTCCCCATCATGTTGTTTCCCCCCTCGGAGGAAGTGCCATAAAAGGAATCAAATTAATTAAAAATTATCTCTTTTCTCATTTACAGGTGACATAGAGCCACCAGCACCTCCGCCCAAGAAGAAGGGATTCTTTAAAAGCTTTTGGAAAAAATCACGTCATTATTCGTTGGAACAGAATTAAATCATGATTCACGCATATGTGCTTGGTTTATATTTTAAAAAAAAATTGTCATGACTTAAGGAACCATCAAGAAGTTTCCAAATTATTTCGATAACCATAAATGCAAAAAAAAAATATATAAGTTTTTATTAAATGTAAGTAGTCGCCAGATGATGGCAGCATAGAAAGAAGAAATGAGATGATAAATTTTATGAATGTCTTGTAGGCTGTTTATTTATCAATTCATGATGAAATTTTAGTTGTTTTTGTTTGTTTGAATAATTTTTAATCCATTAATTGAATGACATCGATACAGTTATGTCATATCCCAGTGACTCTACACGAGCAATGGGCTGAATATTTTATTTTTATGTACTTTCTTATGTAAATTTTTGTATAAAATGAAATTTAAAACTGCAAAGAATTTGAAGATGATTGAAATTGTGTAATTAGTGCTGTATAAGCTTGTGTAGGCTACGCAACATTCATCCTACGATAGAATGACTCAAATGCCAGGGATAATGGTCAGAGATATCTGATGCAAACAAACCGCAGAGCCACGTCTGCTCACTAATATGAGTAATTAGTCATCATCAATCATGTCCGCAGCCAACACGATATAAACAGTTTGTGTGAGGCAAACATACCCAAAGTCTATGCTAAATTGACTGTCAAAATGTACTTTATGGGTATTAAATACATAACTCTAGATTGTTGGGCTTCTGAAGTTGCTTGGACGTGGAATTAGAAGGAGTGCAATCAATAGTATAGTTGAGTAGATTGCTGACTCAGTTGGAGTGGAATAGCATTTGATTTTAGAAACAGTTTGGATAGACTTAATCAGTCTGGGACAAAGATTGACACTCAGAATTTTCAAATTTCAAGTTTTCCTGAATATGAAACTTAGTTATGAGCTATGTTGGACTATACTGAATGAAGATCTGTGTCATATCTTCACATTCGTCCAAAGCTTGCCCTAAATTCTTTAAATACCCAAAAAAGATCCACCAGACCAGCACAAACTCGTACATTTCTCAGTTGACCAATTCCAATTATCTTCGAATTTCTAATAAATTCACTAATTTTTGTATTTATGCTTCTTTCTCGTACATATATGTGTATATACATTGTAAACTTATTTATTTAAACTTACTCTTCTTAAAACTTTAGTTTTTCTTGTTTCTACTCTAGTTACGAATTAACCAAAAACAAAATATGAAGAAAAGTAAATTAACTAAAGTTCATATTGACTTAACACGATTTATAGGAATTAATTTAAACTAAATAATATGAAAAAATTATGATGAATGAATTAGATAAGAAGAAGTAGCAGCAGAAATATGAAAAGTGTTAGAAGAGCGTAAATAATTAATTAATTTGCTAGAAATGAATGAATTTAAATTCAGAAATGGAAAGGTTTTTAACACAGAAATTAATGCTTGAGTCAATGAAATTTCCTGATTTGTCAGAAATTTTTATGAGTCGGATTTCCGTTTCCTTCACAGCTAGTAAAAGTGACAAATTTGGATATTTGATATTTTTTATGGGTGAAAATTACTCGTGGGTTTGGTTTTTTTGGGGATGTATTGAGGCATAGTGGAGGTCACTTTAGTTTAAATCAGGATCCTACTCTGATGTATATCTTAGAGTATCTCATGACATATTTATACTCATGTATACTTCTGTAAGTCAGTGTTAACTGGAGTTTACTTAAAGATGTAAACTCAAGGAAGTATACTCAAAAAAGTATACCCAAAAAAGTATACTTAAAAAAGTATACCCAAAGACGTATAGCCTAAAAAAATCCAATCTCACAAAAAAAATTTCAATGACTCAAGCATCAATCACTAAAATTGGCATGTCTTTATTTTCTATTTGAACAATTTTTAATTATTTCCATAAACATAGGCGACTAAAATGATATTTTATGAGAATTAAAACAGAGGAAATAGAAATGAGAAACCACATGAGACTAAATTCAGTCCAGTATTAGAAATTCTATCCAGGTTCATATATAGGAAGATTAATTAACTTGTACACATCTCGAACTCACAACTTTCTCTTTCACTATCTCGTTCTCCCCGCAATTTTGTTCGTCTTCTTTTTTTGCATGCATGTCCCATTCAGACATAGACACAATAATCATAAATTCAGAACATGAAGGATGACTGACATGCACTTTTTTCCACATAAACACAAACATATGCAGCAACAAAAAAAAACATTTAACTTAGTTGCAATTAATCAGACCTCGTTCCATCTGTTGACTCATACAGAATAACAAATTATCGGCAAATTATACTAAAGCTATAAATAGCTGGCAATAATTTTTTAAATTGACGTTGACTCTTATTTTTTTGTATAATTTTAACAATTTTTTTATTGCAATACGGTGCGCCACTATTGAGCCGGTATGCGTCTTTTTGTCTCCTTACTATTTCTAGACATATACATATAGAGAAGAAAAAAATGAATAAATTTTTTAACCAGAGATGGAAATGATTGAAAATGACTGTTTTTTTAACGACATTTGTTTAATGAGACTGGCTTTTATTTGAACAGTTTGTGCTTTCCTGACTTTTATTGGTTTTCAGTTTATGGAAAGTTATTTTTTATGTTGAAAGGTGGAAATTTTTTGTTGATTAAATTAAAGACTGAAGATCAGTTGTGAGTTTTTATTAATTTTGTTTGATTTTTCAACGATTTTTTGAAATTTGAATTTTTAAAGGATTTTTGAAATTTGAATTTTCAACGACTTTTAGAAATTTGAATTTTTAACGGAGTTTTTAAATTTGAATTTTAACCAATTTCTGGAATTTGAATTTTCACAATTTTTTCGATTGAATTTTTTCCGACTTTGTATTTTGAGTTTTAAGCGGATTTTCAAAAAATCTGATTAAATGCTCAACTTCACAAATCAAATCAAGAAGCTTCAAAAAATTCAAACTACTTAAAACCGTTAAAAATTCAAATTTCAGACAACTCTTAAAAATTCAAATTTCCAAAAGTCGTTGAAAATTCAAATAAAATAATTAAAAAAGCTTTTGACAAATTAATTGCGAATTTAACTCTGAATCTGACCAAAACAGCACTGAAAATTCAGAAAATCAACAAAAGTCATCTTCAAAAATTTCCATCCCTGACTTTTTGCGAATAAAAAAAAAATTTTACTACCAAATATGAAACAAAATATAATGAAAAACTTTTTAAATACATATATTTCTTCCCAATTTTTACATAAACCTTTTTTTTTAATTTTGAAATAAAATATCAATCAGACACACTTATCAGCAATCAATTTAATAATGAAGAATTAGAATAATGAAACGAAGATGATGAAATAGAAAATTTAACGGGCTTAACATTTACATGAAAAGAATAATAAAGTAAAAGTAATAATGATGACGAAAACCACAACAATAAATAACATAACATAACTTAACATATAGACGATAAAGAAGAAATCCCCAAAAAAAAATTCTCTATATTGTGTAACGATATGCTTTTTGATACCAATTAACAATTTAATAATCGAATAAAAAATAATAAAAAAAGAATGAAAAATAAATCCAGTTAAAAATAGTTGAGTGCTATTAATGAAGCCTTGACTGGAAACTTGATGACTTTTTATAATAAGGTAGGGAGGTGGTGTAGCTAGTATGGTTGTAGGGTCAACTACTAGCTTGCATTTGACCCAAAAACCCTACCAGCTACAACCCTAGTTGTCGTCATACATAAGATGACATCATTTAAAAACGATCCCCCTACCATGCAAATTTTGACAACTCATCAAGTTTCCAGCCGAGGTTGTTCAACTTCCACAATACATACCAATAAACCACACATGAATATGAATACCTTCGCAATATTTTTATCTGCTATTTTTGAAAAACAAAAAAAAAAGTAAAATAAAGAAAAACATAAAAAATTTTAGTAGGGTAAACCATGTTGAAATTTGTGCAATGTTGAAATTTGTGCACTCAAATAAAATGTAAATCATCAAAACTAAACCAATAATAGTAAAAATTTGTATGCAGTTCTTTGCAAAACAGTTGCTCAAACATTTCTATTTCATTTTGGATTGTCTTGAACGTTCTTACAGCTTTAAATTTCATTTATTCAAAATCCCATACAAAATGAAAGTTTTCATCTTTTTAATTCTTTGGACACAACTAATGATTCTTCTTACCTCATCAGAGTTAAAAAGCTAATTTTCTTTATTGCTTTATCGTTTAAAAAAGTTTTTGTTTAAGAAAAGTCATTGGAAGTGCTTTAAAAATTGATTTTGAAATCAGTTGTTCTCAAATGTTGAAATTTGTGCGAAATTTTTTGACAAATTTTAAAATTTGTGTGCTTTTTGTCGTAGAAAGCAATGGCACATTTTGTCAACAAAAATAATTATTTCCTTTCAAAAATCGTGTTTTTAGAGGCATGAAAGAAGATGAAGACAAAATAACATCAAGAAGACATGAGCTGAAAGGACTGAAAAATGTGTTTGACTCAAAAATTTAAACAGTTTCAAGAAAAATGCAACCAACTTCAAAAATTAATATTGGAACAAAAAAGCATTCAAGAACTACATTTTGTTCTCTGTCCAGTCCCAAATAGATGGTTAAATAAACACATTATAATTCGTTATAAATACTCCTCTTTCTTTTATTTTCCATAACAATGCTGCAAAATTCTGTAAAATTCATGCTGAATATAATTTTATTGGTAGCTTTTCGTCATACTCCATCAACAGAATAGATTTAAATATTGAATTCTTCTCTATCTCTTGATAATAAATTTGAAAATCTTGAAAAAAGTTCATTTATGCAGCAGTGTCCTTTAAGATTGAGATGGAGTTTTTGGGAAGTGTCCCTTGAAAGCAATCAACTTTTAAAACTCTTCTTAAATGTTTAAAAATATTATTTGTTTACATTTCTGAATTGAAATGTGCCAATGCTTGCTCTCAAAAAAACGCACAAATTTCAACATTTTTTTGCACAAATTTTAAAATTTTCCGCACAAATTTCAACATTTGACCAAAAATGTCTAATTTCTCTTCCAATAAGCTGCATATCCAGCAAAAAGTATTAAAAAATGAAAATTCCAACAATTTATGATGATTTAAGCCCATCAGTAAATTTTTAAAGTAACGCATTTAAAAGTTATAAGCAAATGAAATCTTCAAGTGCAAAAACACACAAATTTCAACATGGTTTACCCTAATAATAAATTGGAGAAAATGAAAAGTAAACCTCATTAAAACTTAAAAACTGAGTTTAAGCTTTTTTCTTCTCTTACTTTAATTGGATTGACGCGTGTTTATTGCATTTCAGTGTTAATGCATTACCCACATGAGAAATTAGCTTAATCCGGAGAGATTAGTTGAGATAGATGAAAAATGAAATATAAAGTTAACTTAATTAGGTATAAAAAATGAGATTATTTTCTCCCAGTGCTGATATGATGATTAATGTCGGAATCAAGCAACTGAATCTTTTGTAAGGAGGTCTTGTTGGAGCTTTTTTGATAGATACTAAGAGTTTTTGAATTGTTTGAACTGAAACTGGCTTGGTATAGCTTGTTTCTTTCCTAAAGTCCAACCAGATCTTAACTGTAGCTCAAAAAAAAAACTCCTAATGCTATAGTCACCAATAGAATCCATAAAAAAGAGAAATCTGACAAGACCTAACCTCAAAAAGCAATTCTTTCCGATACATTAATATCTCTCGACTTTTTGTTTACTTTTCCAATTTTCAATTTAAAAATTTTCCCTTATTTTTAATCTTCTGCTATTATAAAAGAAAATTTGA